CAGAAAAGTGCATCAATGATGCTCTAAAAACCCCCTACAGGTCATCGGTTAGAAAAATCTGCATAAATATTGTCCCTAGACACACGTAAACTTAGGCATACTGCGCTGGCACACAGGAACACTATCTGTGCAGCTCTCACATGCTGTTTTGCGCTTTTTTGCTAAAATGAGGATCAACCTTTGATTTTGAAGGCTCATTGTCATCCACTATTTTGTAAGTATTATCCTACTTTTACCGTTTTGCTTATAAAAATGAGGGGGATAGGGATTGTTTGCAGCATGTACAGTACCCTCTGCATTAAATTAATTTTGATGGTGTTGATCCTGCCCGTCAAAGTGAGGAAGGGTCGGTCATTAATCCACCTAGATAGGTCAAGTTTTATATTATTCAGTAGAGGAATATAGGTACAATACATTAAGTCTGAGAATTTGTGGGTCAGGAATATACCTAAATGTTTTAGTTAGTGTTGGCATTCCGAGGGAGAGGCAGTGAGGTTCAATAGTTCAGATTTATGGAGATTAATTTTAAAGTTAGATACTAGGCCGAATTGTTCGAATTCCTTAAGAAGGGTCAGGAGAGGTATTCTGGGCTGTCAAACGAAAGAGAGGATGTCATCGGTGTAGGCATCAATTGTATGTTCATAACCTTGCACTTCAATTTCCCTGATGTTCACGTTGTTTCTGATAGAGATGAGTAGAGGTTCCAGGGACAGGGCAAATAGGAGAGGTGATAAGGGACATCCCTGACAGGTGCCACTGTAGAGTTCAAAGGTGGGGGACAAAGTGTTGCTTACCTTAATTTGTGCCGTGGGGTGACAGTAGAGAGACCTGACTGAGTGCAACATTCTAGGGCCTAGCCCAATGTGCTCGAGCGTGGCGGCCAAGTAGTCCAAATTGACTCTGTCAACCGCTTTTTTAGTGTCGGTGGAGAAGAGCATAGTCGATAGAGGCGAGGTTGAAGCGTGATAGATAAGTGTTAATGCCTGCTGCATGCTATCTCTGGCCTCCCTACCCGGCATGAATCCAGTCTGGTTAGGTGATATAAGTTGGGGTAGTAATGGTGCCAATCGGTTGGCCAAGACCTTAGCATATAATTTGATATTTGCGTTTAGCAGAGATATGGGTCTATAGCTGCCACATACAGACTGATTCTTATCGGGTTTAGGGAAGACTGAGATGTGTGCGTGTAATGTGGCCGGGGCTGGGGGAGCACCTGTGGGGAACGTGTTAATGTATTCGTGGAGGTGGGGAATGAGGAGAGGCTGGAAAGTTTTGTAATATTTGAGTGTGAACCCATCTGGCCCAGGGCTCTTCCCCGTCGGAGAATTATATGCTAAGGTCTTGGCCAACCGATTGGCACCATTACTACCCCAACTTATATCACCTAACCAGACTGGATTCATGCCGGGTAGGGAGAGCATTACTAATTTAATCTTCAGATGAAGGGGCTGCCAGTGCTGTCAGCACAGTCTGGTCAATTTGGGCGAAGGGAAGATTAGAAAGATAAGAGGGAATTAGATCCTCGTGTCACTTGTTGTGCTGCGTAGAGGGGTTGGGCCTAGTACTATATAGGTCAGCATAACATTCCTAAAAGGTCTGGGCTAATTCCCTGGTGGAGAATGTTAGGGCATCAGTCTTGGTCTTAATCTTGGTGATGAAACCGACATTTTGACGAGCGCAAATAAAATGGGCCAGGCGTCTGCCAGGTTTGCTGCCAAATTCATTGTTGTGTTGGGACAAATAGTTCAGGGGGCGTGTGTATTTAGTTTGCAGGACCTTGTGAAGCTCATCACGGGCTTCTGTAAGTTCCTGGAGAAATGTTCATCTGTCCTAATAAACTTACAGAAACCACAATTTTGGCACTGAAAGGTGCCCTTATATTTACAACACGACCCAGTCTTTCCTTTCTTGTATTCGCTATTGACTAGCATATCCTTTAAAGATTTTGCTCTTCTATTATTTATCCGCGTAATCTCCGTAACAAATTTAAAAATCCTTTTATCCAAATTAAAAATGGACCAATGCTTACCCACAATACTTTCAATATCTTTGTGCTGATTACAGTATTTTAGAACCAGTCTAACTTGGTCCTCATAACTCCTATGTTTGTTCTTCACTACTGGGTGTAATCTTATATACTTCACCTTATTATACGCCTTACATAGATTTCTTTGTTTGTACCCACATTCTTTCAGCCTCCTCCTGAAATCATCCGCTGCTTTCTGAAAGGAATTATCTAAGGTGTAATTTCGACTTATTCTGATGTCCTGGCCTACAGGTATACCCCTAATAGTACAATTTGGGTGGGCGCTACTGGCTTCCAAGATTGTATTCCCCGCTGATTTCTTATGGTATAAATTTGTATATAGTTTTTCTTCAACAATAATTAACAATGGATCATATTGACAGAAGGAAGAAGTAACTTTGTGATAGGCTTGCAAGGCTTTAAGGAGAGTAAAGATTCTTCTTTAGGATCCTGAGGGTTAGGGAAGAAAAAATGCAATACAATATTTTGATTAAGTGAAAAGAAGAAACCACCTTGGGTAGTAAAAACTGTCTAGGCCGGAGAACTACCTTGCCATGATGCATGACCAAAAAATGCTCCTTACAGGATACACCCGCAAATTCAGAAACTCTCCTAGCTGAGGTAATAACTATCAGAAAATCAAACTTATTTTCCCCACAGGATCGAAAGAAGGATTCTGTAGATAGGAAAGTACTAAATTAAGATTTTATGCGGAAATAGGACAACATTTTTGTGGAGCTAGATGAGCAACACCCTGTACAAAGGTCTTTGACCAGAGAATGAGAGGCTAAGGGCTCTTGAAAGAGAACTATAAGAGGTGAAATGGGTCTCTTAATAGTTCTCAGAGCTTTGCTGTAAACCGGAATGTAGAAATACTAAAATCTGGCTTAAAGAGAACATTCTAGACTGGACCCTGGGATAGAAGGTGCGGGAGAGTGGGAAGCCTCCACAGTGGTTCCAACACCGACGGAGAATCTCTGTGTCCCACACTCTGGACAGTAGTAGATATAGATCCAGAATACCCCAACGCTGGCAGATCATTTGAACCACTAACAGGTTCAGGGACCATACTCCGACCAAACTGCTGCCAGCTGAGGAATGTGCCTGCCAATTTCCTATCCTTTGGATATATACTGCTGAGAGAATGGGAACATGAGCTTCTGACTATTAAGAGATGGGCTTGCCTTTGGAGAAAAGTGCATAGGATGATCCAAAGAGAGGGACTGCAAGTTCCTTAAGCGCAAAATGCTTAGTTGGAGTGGTCATAAATAGGCCTGAGCAAATGAAACTGCTTAGAAGGTATAGATCATCACTCCTAGGACCCTCATGAGGGAGCAGATTGAGGGGCGTGACAGAGCCCAGACAGTGAACCCAACTCCTTAGAGACTGAAGCTTCCTCAAAGGGATACATATTCAGCCCAAAATAAGCCCCAGCTATTTATATAGGTGAGACAGGGACCGCAAGGACTTCCAGTGGCTGATCATACAATCGAAATGCTGTAGCAGGAGAATAGTCCCACGAATGTTCAACACTAGATCAAGACCAGCCTGAGCCTTCAGGAGGAGACCGTCTAGATAACCGACCATGTGAACCCCTGAGGATGCAACAGGGCCAGTATTGGAGCCAATACTTTTGCAAACACCCATGGGACAGTGGAGAGGACAAATGGGAGAGCCACAAACTGATAATGTTCCTTTCCTATGACAAAACACTGGTGAGCAGTAAATATGGATAAATGCAGGTAAGCATCGCTGATATCTATAGAAGCCAAGGAAGTCTCTCTAGGGTTTTCTAACAGGCGGGTTCTGCCAACCGGTTTTTCAGCCATAGGAGTCTACGCATCTGGACCAACATAAGACCTAGTCTGGACAACTGGCACAATATCATAAAGCTCCTGGAAGGAGACCTAGCCTTTTAGACATGACATGATCAGAAGGCACAGAGTCCAGACCTTTGCCCAAAATGCCAAGGCTTGACCGATTTCTAAATCCACCACCACAGGTTGGAGAATAGGCCCAATAAGGGAAAATAGGACTCAATGAGGCCATCCAAATGCCCGCAATGTCTGAAGGCAGGAACACCATTGACAGGAATGGCTAAGGACTTGCTCAAGTGGGAAATAACAGTGTCCACCTCAACCCGTTTATTTTGGGAGGAATGACTGTCAAGGTGGCCGCTGGGGACAAACTTAGCATGTGTAGTAGACTGTCCTGGCACCTCCAGAGACGGCAAAATAAATCACCTCCTCAACCCAGCTAGAGGGACAGGAGGAAGAAGGCAGTATTAGGCAATATCCAAAATTGTGAAAACAAATTAATGGGGTATGGGAACACAAAAGTTTGGTCCTAACAAGAAGAGGCACCAGCTAGGGAGCAGAGTAACACATGGGAGGATAAGAGTTAGCACTCACCACCTTCCCACATCTTCTCCAAATAAGGAAATGCTTACTTGGCTTCACTCATTTTGGGTGAGCATACCCCCTAAGACGTTTTAATGGTCGAGGGTCACACCAATGGGAAATACACCACTGCCCTGGACCTGTACAGCCCCCTGCAGCTAACCCACCACACTGCACATGTTGTGCAAGGTGGGCACCCACACAGGGTCCAGCGCTAAAAAGTTACATTACAGGCTGGCCCTGCTTCTTCCGACGCTGTCCTTGCAGGGTCTGGGTAGGACCCCCAAAACTTTTACCATGGGGTGCCGATTCAGAAACTGTGTTTTTGCTGAAGGAGCAGTCAGGAGTGAAGGAGCAGACACAGGAAACTTAAAGAAAACACTCGGTAATATATACTGATTTTCAGAGAGAGAAAATATGTCAGCTAAGGACACTGAAAAAAACTGAGGATCAGGATAAGAGGTGAGGTTATATAGGCTGCGGACTGCTTGTATGGGAGTACATAGTACAAGAAAGGAGAGAGGGTTGAACACCAGAAAGAGAAAAAAAAAACACTTTTTCAGGAAATTACATACCTAGAAATGTTACATGTTCTTCAGCTGTCAACTTGTCATCAATGTCTATAAATTCATCATTGGTGAAGTCCATCTTCTGCAACTTGCTGTCTGGTTGGTAATTAACACAAGGAGGAGGCGCAGGAGCTGGATATAAAATCAAAAATATAGCTGGAAGTGAGCTTGTTAAAATATATTCCTCATCTGAAGAGTAAAAACGTACATTCATAAATATTTATAGTAACTGCCATTCAACGGCTAAAAGCGGTACAGTACATGACAATCTGTTGTTGCCACCCAACAATTTTTAACAATTATTCATGAACTGATTGGAAAGCTTTGTTTATAGAGGTTTTAAAACATGAATGCATGTGTGCTCAGAGACAGTCACCAGACTTTCCATATGTCCAATTAAAAGTCTGTTTATAATCAAGCAGGGGAGTAACTAGCATTACCTTCATGAAATGATTATCGGCAAATCTTATTTGGTCAATATTATTTATTGTAGCTTTTCCAAAGAAATAAATTCACCATAGTGTCACATGATCTAGCTTTCTCTAATGGGTAGAAGGTGCGCTAAACTTGACTTTAAGAACAAGTGAACTTTCATTATACAACAGTTAAATCTACTCCCTAGGTATTCTACCACTTTTCAATTAGATTTATTTTTTTATCCACCAATTTTCACAGAATTCTCTCACAGCTGAGGGCTTGTTCACACCAGCAGCCGCGCTACGTCGACAGTGCTGATGCACTCGATCGAGAAGCATCATACTATTTTGATTCTTTTATTTTGTTAGAAATTTACTGGACTATCACAAGTGACATTTAATTCAGTTCTATAGGCTCACCTTGGTGAAATGCAGTTGTACCGAGTGTCACAGCGGTACGCTGAAAATAACAAAAAAATTAAAAGTACTGCATGCCCTACTTTTTTTTTTTTAAGCACACCAACTGAACCCATCCCTGATCAGGCAAATTGACTTGACTTGCATTCGGGCTGCACTGGAAAAAAAACCAAGGACAACCACAAAGACATCGGGAGTGAATAGGCCCTAAATGGTTCTTTTTTTTTTACAAACTTTGGGAAACTGTACTTGTGTTCTATGTCACTTCTTCTGCAGTGGGCTCTGAGGAAACTGACTTTCTTTCTTTGCACTTACCATGGTGCACTTCTTCACTCTCCCCCACCCTACACACAAACACTTCCATGTACCTTCACAGCCAATTTAATAGAGGTGCTATCAGTCGCCTTCTCTTTCTTGCACAAACATCCTCTGCAGAAACCAGTGGGGGTAATTCATAAAAACTGGAGCAGAGAGAATCTGGGACAGTTGCCTATGGCAACCAATCAGCTGTTCTCGTCAGTTTATTGAATTAAGCTTTCATAATGAAAGAAGGATGTTGATTGGTTACCATCCCCCCCCCCCTCCTTGTACTCATT